GGTATTCTCGTTCCCAAAGCGACTCGACGCAGCTAGAGTTCCTGAAGGGGAACGTCTCTGGGTTTACGTATGTAACCATGGTTCCCCGAGGGAACGAGACGCTGCGTCTCTTTGCCATACTCCCTGCATCCCTGCAGGCGTTACTTCATCGAAGCTGGTTTGCGCCCGGCCAGATGTGCTTTTATGCTTTCTGGTGCTTACGTCACCCTGCTCGTGACGTCTCGCTGCTCCATTGGACGGATTTGACACGTGCTTCAGAACGCGGTCACGTAAGGGCGTTCCCAAAGCGACTCGACGCAGCGTCTCGTTCCCTCGGGGAACCATGGTTACATACGTAACCTAGAGATGACTTAATTGATGCAGCCACACAAGTAGTTGTTTTACTTTATACCGCTCTCATGTTTATCATAAACATAAGACACTGTTAAACCAGCATCATTCTGTGGATAGCCATCAACATGTTGAGAATGATTTAGGATCAGAAATAGCAGAAGAAGATGAGCATCTACCATGTGACTCAGTACAGACAGAAAAAAATGATAAAGTCCAGCAGCCTTACTCATGAAGAATTCATTGAAGGTTTGAAAAAAATTCTTTGCTTGTTCATCCTAAAAATTTGAGAAAAACATACAGTGCCAGCAGTTGTACAGAAAAGTGTTGTTGAAGATCTCAGGACAGCATGTGATACATTCATCACACACTACACTACACTGTAAAAAAAAATCCAAATTTTACGGAAAATAACTCTAAATGTTTTACAGTATTTTTCTGTAATTTTAAATTATGCTTAAAACTATGTAAAATTACATAATTGTAACAACTTGACTGTTATTTTACGGATTATATTATTAATGACAAATTACAGTAATTCTCATTTTTATACGGAAAAATTACGGTATTATTTATACAGTATTTTTCCTGTTTTCATAAATTACATACAAATTCATGTAAAATTACGAACAATATCTGTAAATTAACAACTTGACCATTATTTTAAGGATTATATCGTTAATGACAAATTACAGTATTTCTAATTTTTTTATACGGGAAAATTACCTTATTATTTATACAGTATTTTTTCTGTTTTCTTAAATTACATACAAATTCATATAAAATTACGAACAATATCTGTAAATTAACAGCTTGACCATTATTTTAAAGGTGACATATCATGAAAATCTGACTTTTCCAGGTGTTAAGTGCTATAATCAGGTCCCCGGTGCATCTACCAACCAAGGAAACATGAAAAAAATTAACCCAGTAACTTTGTTTTGGGAAGCCTTTTTCTGCAAGCGTCTGAGAAAACGAGCACGTCTGATTTCGCTCCCTTGGTGACGTGGCAAAGGGATCTTAATCTGTAAGTTTACACCCACAGCGCCGTCATTTTGATTTCACAAGCGACAACGGTGTATTAGTTCTAATGCCATGGTGAAAGTTTGAGCAAAACATGCTACTGTTCTGTCGTTGGCTGCACAGATGAGCACAGAACACTGTTTACAGTCCCAGCCTCAGAGGAGACAACAGAGCAGTGGATTTATTGATTTATTTACTGTATATTGCTGCTG